CTAAAGTAAAAAATAAAAAGTTAAAGAAATTTTGTTATATAAAAAATCAAAAAAACATCATATAATAAAATATAAATAAAAAATGCAACTTTTAAATAAAAAATGAATATTTTTTGTTAATTTGGTGCTAAAAATGTTAAACTGACTATTGGTTTAAAACAACTTATAATATTTTTAATTTTAATGTTTATTTAAAGAATGTTTCATGGTATTTTAAAATTTCAAGTTTAGCATGGGTTTAGATGGGTTTTAATTTATATTTTTTGATTTAAATATGACATTATATATGATGCCCTTCCTGAGACTAACCTATTATGTAGATCAGCATGAGTATTGTAATACTGCCATTAGGAGGAACATCAAATATTTTCTTCCTACCTTAACCACAACTGAACTAGTGATTTAATGAATTTAATATAGATTTTATAAGTTTATTTCTTTTTATTCTGAAAAAAAAAGTATTTAAAAAAACAAAAAATTCAGAAAATCTATGTTTTATAAGCTATAGTAGATAAATATCATAAAAATAAACTTTAGATAGTTATAATAGACTTTTGTTACATATAGATTTGAGCTAGCAATTTAAAAATTTTTAACCATGGTAAATGCAACTCACTTCAAAAACTTTAAAGTAAAACTCCAATTTAGTGTGGTAAGGGTGAAAGGAGCTTATTAACCTCATATAGAAATTTTTTAGTGATAATGTCAAAATAAAAATAATTAGTACACTAAACTGTATAAAACATGCTTGTTTGAAGATATGGTCTAGCTGCACCTTGCAGTTTGTAAGACCTAACTGTAGCTTGCAGTTTGTAAGGCCTAGCTGTACCTTGCAGTAAAAATCTGCTTGAAAACAACAGTGTCAAGTTTCAAAAAGAAAATATTGTATCACATTACATGTGATACATACATACACACATACTATTAGTGTATGTATGTATGTATGTATGTATGTATGTATGTATGTATGTATGTATGTATGTATGTATGTATGTATGTATGTATGTATGTATGTATGTATGTATGTATGTATGTATGTATGTATGTATGTATGTATGTATGTATGAATATTTTAAGTTCAAATATTTATGGTTACTTTTTATTTAAAAAAAAAAGAAAAAAATAATAAGATTTTCAGTTTAATTTGTATAGTCCGATAAAATTGGAGCTCAGGGGATTATATTTGGTGCTAAAAATGAATTTAAAAAATAGTTAAAATAAATGACCAAGTTTGCTAACATTACTTATTGATAGAAGTTTGCTCGATTTCCATGAAAATTATAAACTCTAAGGATTAAAATTTTTAAAACTAATGTTTTAAATATGCAAATAATACGCAAAATGTGATAGGGTACGTATCTGCACTGTATCGTAATTTTTCACTAAGAAAACCTTAATGTTAACTTTTGTCCCAGGCACCAAATAAAGTGAGCAGATAATTTGTGGCGCTATATTTTATTTTAAATGTATTTTATTTTACATAGTTTGTAAAAGAAATCACATCAAATATATAAAAGAAATATATTGTATTTTTATAATTTAAGTTATACCAAAGAATATTTTCATGCTTGATAAAAAATCTGTTAAAAACTATTTATAACATAATATAAATAACTTTGAAAAATAATAACCGAGTTATTATTCTAAGTTATCTGTGATACTTAACACCTTCTATTGTTATTTTATAGTTGAATTTTAAATTCCTTTAGACAACTACTTATTAAATATTAAAAATATGATTTAAAAAATTTAGTGGAATCGGTAATAAAAATTGAGTTAAAGAAGGTTATCATAGGTTATCAAGATAAAACTTCCCCGGGACTTAACAAAAATCCTCCGCGGTGAAGAAGATAATAATAAAAAAGGATTTACCAAATTGTTTTTAAATGATTGTTACGCATAGTTTCAACCATTTTTAAAGATTCCTCAAAGAACAAAATCTATATTTTACAGATCATTTTACAGTTCAATTTTACAGAACATTTGTTGTAAAAACACAATATTTCAAAACAAACCATTATAAAATAGACTAAAAAATGTTTATTACTCAATATTGATCAGAAAACAAACAGCTCACAAAAGTTCAAGGGTATTGCTTTAAAACAAGGTTAAGACTATAATTTCTAAATGTTATTCAGCACTTATCAAGTTCAATACTTAACGTTTCAGGGGATATATTTTTCAATTCTTTGCATTCGGTTTACCGTTATATATATATATATATATATATATATATATATATATATATATATATAATATATTATATATATATATATATATATATATATATATATATATATATATATATATATATATATATATATATATATATATATATATATATATATATATATATATATATATATATATATATATATATATATATATATATATATATATATATTAATTTGGTAAAGTAATGTTTGTATCAACTTTATATATAAAAAAAAATTAACAGCTGAGTAAAAAGGTTTTAAAACGATTATAAAATTTTTAATTATATGGATAAATTTACGGATAACTCATTTCGTGATGTTTTCATCTGTTTTTCGCTCTGTTGTTTTTTTAATGAAGGTTTGTAAATGGAAATATTTGTAAAATATTTATGTAAACAAAGGAAACCCTCCAGATGTCCTGAATAATGATCTTATACAGCCTAAATAATAACTGTACATTGATTTTAATTTTTTTTTAATGTTACCTGGTATCATAATATGCAAACAAACTATGTTACTGTACTTTTGTTTTAAAGAAAATATCTTAGTTGTAAAATCATGTTTAGCACATTGATTATAATAAAGTGTTACAGAACACTGCATAACATAAAGTGCAAAACACTGCATAATTTGTTAAGATATTAATTTTAAAATCAGAAATAAATAATATAAACAGGAAGTATTCAAATATATGTAGGTCTCATCTTGCGCTATACATGCATCTTTGTATATTCTCCAAAAATAATAAACATATTTGCTATTATATTTCTAACAATAAGATGATTACCTTGTCATTTTATGATAAATACTCTCATAAAAACTTCCATGGAACTTGCTTTATAATTCTATACCTTATGAGTAAACGAACATATACTTCCAAAAATAATTAAAAACTTCTTGACGTGTTATGATCACATGTTATTTATTCGACTTCTATATTTCTTGTTTTTATTATCGTCGAAAAACTTTTGAAAATTGTAATTTTCTTTAGTTGTTGTTGTGTTAGTTTTTTTTTTGTTTGTTTTTTTTTTTTTTTTTTTTTTTTTTTTTTTTTTTGTTTTAGAATTTTCTTACTTGTTTGTTTATTTATTTTATTTCGGAAAAAAAAAAAAAGTTTAATCTTCTTCAAAAAATAATCTTCTTTGACAATACCGCTAAATGCTTTAAATAATTTTAGAAACACCAGCCATATATTACATCTTATATTTTGAACTCAATACATCTTATATGTTAAACAAACGGTGCTTTAAAATCACAAATTTAAAACTGACTCCACGCTGACCGCTTTATCTACTAATCTTTAATGAAAAGTGAACAGGGGGCATGGGAACATCTCTGTTATTAAATTAAAGTTACGGCTAACTAAATATTTGAAATGATTGTATTCCATTCACAATAGGTTGCAACAGAATACAAGAGACAGTTGCACTCAAATATGCTTTATTTTTTGAATGTTAAATTTGATTTTGTCTGCTACACATTTAATTATCTTTCTTTACACCAATTGCGTTTTAATCCGTCATTAATTTACAATGAAATATAGCAAGTTTTCTGCATTTAAAAATAATGCAATAAAAAATGTTTTCTGGATTTAGAGAGAAAACAAATAATACTATGGGCATAAAAGATATCAAGGTGAATAAATATCAAAAAATATTATTTCCAATATTTATTGATAATATTCTTTATTCAATTAACAATATCCTTTATTTAATCAACAATATTGTTTATTCAGTTCAACAATTTTTATTTTCTCGAAATTGTTACTGTTTTTTTTTAACTAAAGAAATAAAATTTAAAAATATTTGTTTATACAAAAAAGTTAACTCAAGTGAAACTGACCACGAATATTTTTTAAACTAAAGAACGGCAATAAAATTGTTGCTTCAAAGGTTAAAAATTCTAAAGATATTCCCCACTGATTTTATAAAGATAAATGTTAAAAGAGATTTAATTTTTTACAGTGATGTATTATGTTGTTGATAGTAGCATTGGTGATGGCGGTAAAATATTTTTGTCGCTCAAAAATTCTGATCACAAACATAAGAATACTGACTTAACTTAAAAAATACTGTTCAAACTGAAACACCGCTGTTCTATAAAACCCTATAGTAATTAAACTTTTTTCACTCAAAAAAACTGAAGATAAAAGATTTACCATTGAGTATAAAAGATATGGTGGTTTAATTCTAATTTCTTTTTTCTTATTAAAGTAAAAAAATAATTTTTATCAAACATTTAAAACAATGTCTTATATCTACTTTTTTACAATGGTAAAGGCGTTCGTTTAATTAGTTTACATAAAACTTGTAAAAATATTCTAATCAAGTTATTTTTCTCAATAAACTAATAACCTAACAAAAGCAATAAAAAATAATAATAATAAAAAAAAAAAAAAAAAAAATAGTGATAAACAACGGAAATAAATTACTATAAGTAACAGGCTGTTGCTATTAGTAACGAACTTATCAAACATTTTGCTAAAAGGAATTCAAAAAACAATAAACTTTTTATTCGACTTGTTTTTAAAATTATTTAACCACTTGTTTTGTTTTTTAATAATTTTATAAATAAAAAGTGTGTTACATTTAAAGTTACGTAAAAATGTAAAAAAAAACGTTGACTAGATCAGTTTTCGATAAAATATGTAACATTCAAGGAATGTTACAGTTATAAAATATATATATATATATATATATATATATATATATATATATATATATATATATATATATATATATATATATATATATATATATATATATATATATATATATATATATA